ATGAGGCTTTGGAGTTCTCATTTTCTTATCTCTTGGACTCCATGGCCTCTGAGCTCCCGTCCCGGTCTAGATCGATGGTCAATGACTTGTCCAAGGTCTCACAGTTAGTAAGAGACAGAGCCTGGCTACAAATCCTGTCCATCTGACTCTATTTCCAGTGTTCTTTCTATTACATAATATATGTGTTAAGAGTGATCTCCTGGAGCACACACACACACACACACACATACACACACACACACACACACCACCCAAACCTTTACTTAGCTGGCCATTATACACCTGACTATGTGATTGTTCTTTCATTTTCATAGACCGCAATTGAAAGACGTGTCAACAGGACCCCTGACTTATAGTGTTTAAAAGAATAACATCATATGTAAATGATGGGGGAAACACATGGCTAGATAGGTATTTGTTTGAATTTTTAAAAGCTAGTGAGTTTGATTTGATTTCAGAAAATGTAAGTCAAAAATATAGGGCAGGAGTAAAAGGAAGAAGGGCAGCTAGGGGGCGCCATAGTGCACAACGTGGGACTTGGAGTCAGGAAGACCTAGTGTCTTGAGTTCAAATTTGACCTCAGACACCTACTAGCTGTGTGACCCTGGACAGGTTATTTAACCCTCTTTGCCTCCCTTTCATCATCTGTCAAATGAACTGGAAAAGGACATGGCAAACCACTCCAGTATTTTTGGCAAGAAAACACCAAATGGGGTCACAAAGAGTTGGACACATCTGAAATGACTGAACAACAATAACAAAAAGGGAAATCCAAAGGAAGGAAACAGCATTTGCGCTGTACTATGCATTTTTAAAAAATAAATATCTCATCTGATCCTCACACCAACCCTGAGAGGTAGGTGTTATTATTCCCATTTCACAGATGAGGAAAGTGAAGCAGATAGAGGTTAAGTGACTAGCTTGGTGTCACACAGCTAGGAAGTGTCTGAGGTACTATTTGAAACCAGGTCTTCTGACTGTCAGCCCAGGATGTTATCCACTGTGGCACCACCTAGCTACCTGGTGTGATACTAGACTTCATTAAGTGAGGTGTGGTCCTCAGGGCTTCTCAGGTGGCAGACTCATTCTGCCCCACCCTCATCAGAACACATTGGAGGGCTGTGCCCTGTGCTGGGTACCATACTTTAGGGTGGGCAATAAGTTTGAGGGGGTCTAGAGGAGGGCAGAAAGAATGGCGAAGAGCCTGGAGATCGCGCTATGCAAAAAAACACTTCAAAGAACTATGGATATTTCACCTAGAAAGGAAGAATACTCTGCGAGGACAACATAGCTGTCTTCACATTTTTGAATTCAACTTTGGTCTCAAGCACCTACTAGCTGTGTGAACCTGGGCAAGTCTTTTAACCCTATTTGACTCAGTTTCCTCATCTGTCAAAAGAGCTAGAGAAGGAAATGGTAAACCACTTCAATACCTTCGCCAAGAAATCCCCAAATGGAGTCACAAAGAGTTGGACACAACTGAAATGACTGTACAACAACCACAACAAAAAGAGAAATCCGAAGGAAAGGAAGGATTTATTGTGTTCCCACTAGGATCCCACTTGAAAGTGGGATCACTTTTTTTTTTTGCCTGATTGGCCCTAGAGGGAAGAAGTAGGAGGAATGGGTAGAAGGTACAGAAAGGCTTACACACCATTGGAGCTGCCTCAGAACAGATTGTTGGGGCAACTAGGTGACACAGTGGATAGAGTGCCAGCCCTGGAGTCAGGAGGACCTAAGTTCAAATCCCACCTCAGACATGTAACACTCACTAGCTGTGTGACCCTGGGCAAATCACTTAACCCCAGTTGCCCTCACCAAAAAACAAACAAACAAACAAACAAACAAACAGATAGTCGTGAGAACCTCTCTATCCGCCCCCCCTCCCCAACACACACACCTAGTTGTGCTATTCAAGCCAGAAATGGATGCCCACTACTGGGAAAGTTTCTAGAGTGCCTTCTTGCTCAGGGACTGGCTATGCTGGATGAAGTTTGAGGTTCCCTCTAGCTCTGAGATTTGGTGACATATTTTTTGCTGGCTGTCCCCAAGAGAAGCTGTAGAATTGTAGGCCAGCCAAGAGCTGGAACCTTCAAGCAAAGACTCTCATATCCCAACTGTCCTTTGCACTTAAAATTCACTTCCTTTCCCATTAGCACAAGGGAAACGGTTTCTCCTTATGTTTCCCCTGCTACCCTGGGTCAAAGACCTATAATACTAGCTCCTTTTCTTCTTGACGTGTTATATGAAGCAGGGGGCTTTGATGTCCCCCCAGAAGGTCAGCATGTCCCATGGAGGCTTTCAGCAGTCATTACAAATCATAAGCTCGTACTTTATTTCAAGTCAGTGATTCCAAGAGATTAAATGCTGGAGCTGTTACAGTACGATGTTTATTTGTCCAAGGCAAGATAGAGGGAATATAGCCCTTGAAGACTGGAAGATGACAGTAGGGGGAGTTCTGGAATTCTACATTTTAAAAACACACACAAACTTAACTAAAGCTCCCAGAAGCCACCAAGAGGATTTGGAGGGATTCAGCCCATGTTTAATTTTTGTTTTTTAAACTAGATTGATACTTTTTGTTTTTACTTTGCAGTTATTTCTAAGTATGCCTTCTCCGCTCCCACTGCTGTAACACCAACAATTAAGTAGAAAAAAAGAACTTACCTAATCACCGAATCTGATGGTGCACACACCATTCTGCTATCATAGCTGCCCCCCCCACCCCGATCTCTCCAATGAAAAGAGAATGGTCTGAGATAATAACCTTTTTCCTTTCCAAACCAACACAGAGAATATTTCTGTGGAGTTGTATCTAATTTTTTTAAATTTTGTGAATAATTTTTTAATTTAAAATTTATTGCAAAATATCTTAATTCCCTAAATACATGAAAAGCAGTGTGGTTTAGTGTTAGCAGAACAGCCTTGGAGTTAGGAAAAGTTAAGTTCAATCCTGTCCTTGATGCCTGTCAGGGCTGTGTGCTCTTGAACTTCTCAGTGCAACTCTCTTAAGATACCAAGTTACAGTTGAGTTGCTAATTTATGTTAATGAAAGAAGTTTGAATCTGGGACAGCCCTTGCAGAGTATAGTCACAAGTATGTATGTGTGTGTGCATATCTTTTCTTAGAGTATATACATATAATATATATATATATATATATATATATATATATATATATATATATATGTGTGTGTGTGTGTGTGTGTATGTGTGTGTAGGTATATGTACGTGAATATGTGTATGTATATGCATATATGTAGATGTTTGTAGATACGTGTATAGATATATGCAGAATATACATGTATGCATTTCTATAGAAGATTGTGTGTATATGCAGATTTGTGTATATAGTATATTTACATATGCACATATGTATATATGTTGTTGTTTAGCTATTTTCAGTCATGTACAACTCTTCATGACCCCATTTGGAGTTTTCTTGGCAAAGACTGGAGTGGTTTACCATTTCCTTCTCCAGCTCATTTTACAGATAAAGAAACTGAGGTAAACAGGGTTAAGTGACTTGCCCAGGCCCACATAACTAGTAAGTGACTGAGGCCAGATTTGAACTTAAGAAGATGAGTCTTCCTGATTCCAAGCCCAGTACTGTGTCCACTCTGTCACCTAGCTGCCCCCTATGTATATATAGGAATATGTTTATATGTGTATATAGACCTGTATATAACCATGTTTTGTTTTCATTTTTCAAACCTGTATAAATAAAAATATAAATAACTTTCAGCTGTTGAAAGATTTGGCTTCCCCCTCTTTTTCCTATATTATTCATTTATGATGCTAAATTTAACCATCACATGCTTCATAGAATTTTTTTAGAATCTGGGAATAAAAATATCCTTAAACATTTAAACAAAAGTTAAAAATAACGAAACTTCCTAATATACCTTTTTGTCACTTCATCTTCTTTGGTTTTAACTCATGCTTTTTGGGATTGTTCAAGCTTAAAACTACGAATGGAAATGGTTTTAAATAAATATTGAGTCTAGTATATAAATACACACACATACCCACAGGCATCTAGTCAGTATTTAATATATATTTTACGTGGTGCCCATTAAATGTATCTAAATATATGAAGACTCACACAGCTTAGCTGATTCCGGGCCAGCCTAGAAGTCATGAAGACCTGGGGTCAATTCTTTTTCCTGACACTTTTTGACTCTTTGACCTTTCGCAAGCCATTTTAGGCAACTAAGAACCTCTCTATGCCAGTAACATCACAGGTGTCACAGGTGTGAGGTGTATGTGTGTGTGTGTGTGTGTGTGTGTGCATATATATCATTGCGTGTGTATTATTAGTGACAAATGCAAATACATGTAGACAATGATATTCTTTTCCTCTTTCTGTGTGTGTATATATATATATATATATATATATATATACACACATGCGTTTATATGTATATAAAATATATATAAGCATAAACACACATATACATATGTAATGTATGCACAAATATAAAAAATGATATATATGCATGCCAAGTGTATGTATACATATCTGTTTATAGGTGTATGTATACTCACATATATGTATGTGTGTTTTATGTACATCCATACGTGTGTGTGTATTGGAATAGTCCTATTGGCATGGCAATATTTAGGCTTGTAGCTTTACAGAATAGATAAGGGAACTGACATCAATTACTAAGCTTTGTGTTGCATGGTATTGCTTTTTTTTTTTTAATCAAGGAAGGAGGGTGATCATTTGGCTTAGGTGGCGTAACACACTTTTGAATCAAAGCCTAAGTCTTGTTCCTCTCACTCGTTGGCGGTGTCCCATGACGCCATATCAAAGTGAACATTTCTTAGCTTGATTAGAAATTCAGCGAGAACGGCAGCTGTGAGTGTCTTTTGCAGTTGCATTGTTTCTCTGCAATCCATATGGCAGAAATCACATAGCACAATTTCCCCTAGAAAAGGACAATTCCTATAGGCAGGTTCTGCTCCAAATGACACTGCTTTTCTTTGCCTCCACAGATTTTCACCCGCCATATTTTTCTATCTGATTAGCATTGTGCCATCATTATGGCTGCTGGAACTGCATCATGAGACCCAGGTAATTTCTTTAGGTAATTAAGATAGTAAATAGAAATGCAACCTTTACCAGTGAAGCATCTCAGGCCCAACCCGATCAGATTGCCTGGAGAAATAGACTTGTTCTGGAGACCCTGGTCATAATGATTGGTAATAACTCAATAGTAGTCATTTAATAACTCAGTGACAGTCAAGGAAAGCAAGTCATTCCATTCAGAATCTCAGCCCAGAAGAGTATCACATTCCTTTTCTGGCAACATATTTACAATACCTCTAATTCTTTGTATCTTATAGTGGAAAGAATACTGGCTCTGGAGTCAGAGAAGCTGGGTTCAAATGTCGCCTCTGAAGCTTAGTACCTATGTGATCTTGGGCAGATTTCTTAACATCCCTATGCCCCAGTTCTCTCATTTATAAAATAAGGAGGCTGGATTAGAAAAGGACTCGAAGGTCCCTTTCAACTCTCCATCAAAGAGCATGTATCTTCCGGATATCATGGAATTTGGCAACATTCTTCCTAAAATGCTGTTTCCCGAAATGTATATGACGTCTCCAATATGGCTGAATGAAGGCAGAACCAAACAGAAAAGCAAGCAGCCTCATTCTGGATGCCAGACTCAATGGAGCAAACACACACACATACACACACACTCAGCAAATGATAATTTGATTAACAGAAATAATGCTGATTTTCTATCACTAAGAATTGTGCCAAAAGTAGGAAAATGAGGAAAAATAATAATAACTAGCATTTCCGTAACACTTTTACGTTTGCAAAATATTTTCTGTATATTATTTCATTTTCTTCTACTATTACAGAAGTGCTATTATAAGTACTAGTGCTATTAGAATCATTTCATTTTTACAGATGAGTCTGTAACTGAGTCTGAGAGAGGTTAAGGGTCTTGCCTAGAAACACACAGCTAGTGAATATTTAAGATAGAATCTGAGCTCCAGTCTTAGCGATAATGACCTAGTCCCACACCACCCTGGCAGAATGAGGTTGCATTGTAAGATGCAATCACTATCAGGTATTTTTGATTAATTGTAGCTTTTGTACTAAGGGGGGAGGGCCAGTTGGGAGAAGAACATTGTTTTTCTCCCAGAAATGACTGGGCATCAATGAAACATACCGTATAATATAAGAAAGGTAAAATTTTAAGATGGTGATGAATAAATCTATTTTAGAAGTCAACAATATTGGCCATTGAAATCCTGATTTATCTTCATTTTGAAACTGAATTCCATGAATTTTGTTTAAAATGGAGAGGAAAGATAGGGTAATGTGCTAGTGTCCCACATCTAGCCATCGGAGTCTATCAATACAAAACTATGCATTTGGGATAAAATAAAAGTGGAGAAATGAGATGATTAGGCCTTGTTAAAAAATCCTACCAGGTTTTCCATTTCTAAATTCAGCGCATTACAGGGCCCAGGAATCCAGCAACTGAAGTGAGTGCAGGACTTTGGCAGGGCTTCAGCAACCCCCCTGGGGCAGGGAGACTGCTTGGTCAGGTCGGAGGCTCAGTGTTTTTGCACATGATTCCCTATTCTATGACTAGAGTCCAGGATTGGTTCCAATAGCTGCACTATCCTTCAGAGGGATGGGGGTTCTTATGCATAATTCTTAATTATTCCTGACATGTCACCTATTATAATCTGAGGTTCTGTGGAGGAAAGAAATAACTAGGGTCTTTACTGCCTTTCTTTGTCAGTCCTCAGAAGGAACTCAGTGGGGAAAAATAATAAAAACAGCAAAATAACTAAGAAATCTAGACTTTGAGCAACTTTGGGATGAGGGTTGTTTTCTTTTCAATTTAATTCTGCCTGAAATTCCAAGATCTCTAAATGTGTGAATGCATGCATGGGTGTGTATATGTCACATATAGGTTAGCTTTGCAAAGGAATTTTGAAATTCCTCAAATGCACGAAAGCTGTTGTTTTTTCTTCTTTCTTTTTTTTTCACCAGCTTGTAAAATTTGCATTGGCTGCAACACTGCTCTTGGGAGGCCCCCTGCTCTTCATCTCCAGCCCACGCCTCTCTCCTCTTTCTGCTCCCTCCATCCTGAGCATCTGCCTAGATGAAACACACACACACACACACACACACACACACACACACACACACACACACGAACAAGTTCTCTCACAAATACAAATTCCTGTGAAAATGGAAACCCAAATATGATTTCACTGCACTTCTGGTAGGGTAAATTTTGGCCTCCAACCAAATGATGGATGGGCTACAAGTTTTTCAGGCAGGAGAAAAATGAACAACACATTGGACTGAGTATTTAAACCAAAAAAGCCCCTTCCCCTTTTTATTTTTTGAGAAAAAGAATTTTCTTAATAAGAAATGTCATTGGACATGAGACCATCATGTTTAATCTGTCCAGTTTGCCATAAGGCTGTCTTAACCTCAGGAACATTCTAATGGGAATTTCAAGTGAGATCAGATACAATAATCAGCTGGAATTTAGTTCAATTGGATTGGAATTTAGTTTCAATTCAATTCAGCAAGCATTATTAAACACCAAAGATATTCTAGGCACTATACTGGTCTCTAGAGATAGTAAGAAAATATAAAAACTGTTCCTCCCTTCAAGGAGTTTACTTTCTAATAGTGGTTTCAGGGGTGATGGGAAGTGTAACTGCATAATTAGCCAGGGAAATATAAAATGCCATCTGGAGTTGTGTTTTCTTTGGCATAATCATAGGGAACTCCCAGTGGTGCTGATAACTGTTTTACAATCAGCTCTCTGGAGAGAAAAAAAATCTGCAGAACACACTTTTAAGTCTAATCTGCTTCATTAACATTCTCTCCATGACTTTCTCAAGTATAGAAAATCAACAAAACAATAAATCAAGCTCTGATTTATTAGCACTTGTCAATTTCTGAAAAATAAATGCTCATAATGAAAATTAACGGTGGACTTTTGTGGGCTGGTATGAACTGACTCCAGATAAGCCTGGCACTCTACCTTGAGGAAACTCCAACTATTGATCTAAGTCAGCATTTTCTCAGCCACTTCTAGTCTTAGAGATTTGCCTGGAGAACTGAGAGGTTAGTTGATTTATCCGGGGCACACAGCCAGGGTGTCTCAGATCTCTACCCATTACACCACCAGCGGCTTCTCAAGGTAGATATAAAGAGGATACAAATACATTATTAATGGAAGACTGGAGGGTAGGGAATGGAAGGAGGAGAGAAGCACTGGAGCAATCAGGGCAATTAGGAAAGGTCTCAAATAAAAGGGGGCTCTTGAGCTAAGCCTTGAAAGGAGCAGGACAGCATTTGATTTTCATTTTGTGGAGCTATTCTCATGGAGGGAGATAGGTCAGTTCTTCCACACTGCAATGGATCTGTGATCTCATTAGGGTAGATACTCCCTCCAGTGGTTCAGATTGAAAGCCATCCAGATATTCTCATCTCTAACGCCTCTCGTCCATAATCTTCCATATACTGGCCACAGACGATCCATACAACATGGAGACCTGCTTCTCACGATTGAAAATCGCAGTCTCTTTGATCTCATGCTAACTTGAAAAAAGGACTGTGCAGGTTCAACCTACCACCCTCACATTACGGATGAGAAAAACAAGGCTCAGAAGTCATACATAAGGCTTAGGGTACAGGGGTGGGGAACCTGTGGCCTCCAAATCACATGTGGCCCTCTAGGTCCTAAAGTTCGGCCCTTTGACTGATTCCAAACTTTATAGAACAAATCCCTTCCATAAAGGGAAATCTTGGACTCAGTCAAAAGGCCACACCAGGAGGGTGGGGGCAGCTAGGTGGCACAGTGGATAGTGTACCAGCCCTAAATTCAGGAGGACCTGAGTTCAAATCCAGCCTCAGACACATAACACTTACTAGTTGTGTGACCCTAGGCAAGTCACTTAACCCCATTGCCTAGTCAAAAAAAAAAAAGAAAGAAAGAAAGAAAAAGCTGCACCTGGGACCTAGGAGGTCACATGTGGCCTCGAGGCTGTGAGTTCCTCATCCCTGGTAGGATTACTAACCGTAATATAATTAAATGCTCCTAAGGCTCACCCTGATCATTTTCCATTTTCAGCAGAGCCATGCTCCATCTGGACTCAGGTATACTGATTCCAAATCTGCTGTTCTTTCCAATGAACAATGGAAAACAGGATTCCTGATTTTGCTACACTGTCACTGCCTCCCCTAGACTTTTCTGCTTCTTCATTTATATTTTCTGCTTTTACTTGTGGAGAGAATGTCAATATTGCTGTGGGTCATTCCCTTCAATAACATAGTAACTCATTAGCTGTTGAATAAAGAGCACACATTTAGAGTACCTGTGCTAAATTAATATTGATAGATGGCTTACTTACCACTTGGAAGGGCTCTACCTGTTACTCTGTATTCATGGATTGAAGTCCATTTGTGTTGTGGGCTGCTGTGACTCAAGCACTGTTCGGCAGGAAGGTTGCTGAATTTGGTGTCAGAGGACCCGAGTTCTAATGCTATTTGCTTCTTGCGTGACCTTGTGTGATTCAGTTAATCTTTGCAGCCCTTATTCTGCAAAATGAGAGGAATGGAATAGATGACTTCTGAAGGCCCATCCAGGGCTAAGTCACTTTAGGACCCTGAGGCCCACCAGCGGTGAGCTGTTCCCTGCTTAGCCCAGGGAAGACTGGCCAGCCTCTCACCAGGGACTTCATGTGTGTCTATAGTTTTTCTAGGCCTGTGATTTCATTAGTTTGGAAAATTCTCTAATGAGAAAACTTCCTCAAACAGTACAGACCAACACTCTCCCTGCCATTTATGTTCTTGGAGAGTTTACCAGAGTACTGAGAATTTGGGACTTGCCCAAAATCACAAAGCCTCCATGGAGTCATTTTATGCAACATTTTCTTGTCTTTCTGATGCTTTTCCTGCCTCTCTTCAGTGACCATAAAAGGCTTTTTCTCATCTGAAATTTGTAATCTTTCTTTTTCTAATGTACTTATGTCTACAAATAAGATCTTACACTGTTTTTTTGGATTCAGTGGCTCAAGGTAGAATATTGACAAAAACATGGTGGTCAACAGGAAAGTAGCCTTATGATCCAGGAACTTCATGGAGAAACTCAGGATTTCATAGAACCATCAGATTCAAACATCTAGTGTAAAAAATGACTTAAGCAAATGAATTAGGAGGTTATTGCAATAATCTAGGGGAGGGCTGTGAAGGGCCTGAACTATGTTGAGTGGTGAGGAGTTACATGAGAGATGTTGGGGTGATATTTGCTTAATATTTGAGATTGTATATTTACATATTTTATTATACCATATACATGTATATACACACATATGTATATATACACACATATATATTTTAGTATTGCAGTAACCAGGCTGAAGGAATGTCTCCAAATATTGGTAGCAAGGGGGATTTCAATCGAACTCAGATGATGAAAAGTCAAAACACCGGAACCGAGACTCTCCTTGAGACGGTAAGGGAGTTTTCTCTTTTTTCTATCGAAAGATCTAGTGCAAAGTGGTAAGTTATCTTTATATATATGGCCAATACTCAAATGGATTTCTTATTGAATTAAATAATCAAAAACTATTTGTTAAACACCAATTCTGTGCTAGATATTGTAATAGCTGATGGAGATGCAAGTATAAAGGATGAAGTAATTCCTGCTCTTCGTGAGCTTATATTCTATTGAGGGAGCCAACAAGGACATGGAGAAACATACGCAATATAAATATGAAGTTAATATACAAAGCAGTTTAATACGAGGGAGTCAGAGGATGAGCACTAGCCATTAGATAAATGAGAAAAGGCTTCATGTAGAAGATGGAGCCCAAACTGCCTCTTAAAAGAAGAGAGCATTTCTTCCAGGCAGAGGTAAGGAAGGAGCGAATTCCAGGCATGTGGGTGCTGGTGAGAAGAAGATGGGAGGTGAAGGTTATGTCTAAAGAACATAGAAAAAAAAAAGAAAAAAAATAAAGAACATAGAGAAGGCCAATTTGCCAGATCACAGAGAGCAGGAGGAAAAGGCAGTGTAGGGCATTAAAAGCTGAACAGTTGATTCTAGAGGCAAGAAGTTGGGGGAGTTGGGAAGTATGGGACTCACCTGGTCACAGTTGCATGTAAAGAATATTACTTGGTAGCAATGCATAAGATGGACTAGAGTGGGAAAAGATTTGAGGCAAGAAGACCAATTATGGGGGTTGTTATAGTCATCTAAGTGAGAGATGATGAGGGTATGTGAGTAGAGACAAGGGTCATGTGTGAGAGATGATGTGAAATTAGAAATGGGAAGATTTTGCAACTAATTGGTTAGATAGGTGGATGCTTGCTCCAGTGATGTAGACCACCACCCATCCATGCCTTCCTATCCTAGGTGACCGTTGGCCATGTCCTCCCGTAACGTCAGTGCTGTAGTTCTTCTGCTGTGCTGAACAGGGAGAATCTGCTCTATTGGGAGAATGGGTTCTATGATGGCAGAACATATAAAATAGAAATTTACTAACCAGTTAACTAATAGGTTTATTCTCATACTTGCATGTGACCAGCCAGCAAAAATTTGCATTCATTCCTCTTGTTCTGAATCTGACCATGAAAATATGTATGAAGCACCTATTGTATGCAGATCATGGTGCTAGGTACTTGGGAAGATGGAAAGTTTAGGTGAGACACAGCCCTTGTCCTTACCATGGCCAGGGGACCACAAGTATTTCACTCCACTCACACACTCATTAATTCTGAAATTCCTTCATCTGGTCATAATCTTATTATACCATCTTTCCTCAGGTCTTACAACCCCTAACACTCTTCTTTACCCTCACCATGACCTCCAAACATCCCACTCTTCAGTTCTTGCCCAGGTCATCACCACTGCACTGGCTAGATTTTGAACCTGGAGGTCCTTTAGGTATCTTAAACTCAATTTGTCCAAAGCAGAACAAATGATCTTTCTTTTCAAGCAACTCCAGTCAACTTTCCTGTTCCTGTCAAAGGCATTCGGGCTCTCAACCTCAGGCTCATCCTCTCTTGGACTCACTCCATATATAGAATCTGTCGTTGTCCTGTTGTTTCTATCTTACATGTTTTTATGTATGTCCCATTCTCTGAACTCCCGCAGCCACCACCCTGGGACTGGCCCCTCACTACACACCTGGATTATTCCAGTAAGCCTTCTGGTTGGTTTCACTGGCTCAGGTCTCACCCCACTCCCATCCATCCTTCACTTAGCTGCTGAAGTGATTTTGCTAAAGCACAGGTCTGACTGTGTTGCTCCCTACTCCATAAACTCCTTTGGGGTAGGTAATGCAGTGAGGTGGTACAGTGGGTAGAATGCTGAGCCTGGAGTCAAGAAGACTCAGCTTTCTGAGTTCAAATCTGGCCTCAGACACTTACTAGCTGTGTGACCTTAGAGAAGTCATTTGCCTCAGGTTTGTCGTCTATAAAAGGAGCAGAGAAGGAAATGGCAAGTCACTCTAGTATCTCTGACAAGAAAACCCCAAATGGGGTCACCGGGAGCTGAACACGACTGAAAATGACTAAGCCACAAATGCAAGTGTTATAACTGCACAAATGAGGAAGGTGAAGGAGCTTGCTGATCAACTCCATCCAGTAACTGGAGGGACTGAGTCACTGATATAAGCGGGTACAGTACAAGTTACAGGGTTGTAGTACCTAGGATCAAAGCTTGACCCGCTCATGAACACTACCGCAACAACCATTTATATAGCTTTTACTATGTGCCAAGCACTTTAAAATTATTATCTCATTTGACCCTCCCAACAACTCCAGGAAGTAAGTGCTAATATTGTCCCCATTTCACAGATGGGGAAACTCAGGCAATCAGAGGTTCAATGACTTGTCCAGGGTCACACAGCTAGTAACACATTTGAACTCAGGTCTTCCTGACTTCAGACCTGGTGCTACCTACTGCACCACCTAGCTTCCCCTTGCCATCTGTGTGACCTAGGGCAAGTTATTTCACTCTATTGAGCCTCACCTTCAAAATGCAGGCATTGGACTAGATCAGGGCTGCTTAAACCTGGGGACTGTGAACGTTTTTTTAAGATACATATTTTAATAATTATATTTCAATGTCATTGGCTTTCATAATCTTATGTGTTTTATTTTTCTGCATTAAAATCATTACTGTGAGGACTCCAGAGGTTTGTTAGGACACAAAAAGGTGAAGAACCCCTGCACTAGAAGATGTCAAAGGTCCCCTTTGGCTGTGGGCTTTATTGTACAACCCACAGCCCCTCACTAGCTGCTTGCTTGTTCTCTGCCACCATAGAAACAGAAAAAGAGAGAGACCAGATCTTCGGGAATTGTGCAGTGCAGAAAATATTCCCAGGTAGTTAAAGTTCAGATTTAGTGCCTATTAAACTAAAAAAAAAAAATTAACATTTCAATTTTCCTCAGCAACTCTCACTCGGAATTTGGGCTTTTGAAGGATTTTGTTTGCATATTTATTTTGTCTGAACACCATGTCCTGGGGGACAATGGGAAATGTAGAATGGGCTTTAAGCAGAGATTTGAATATATGATTATGGAATTGGCTTCACAAGCACCATGATGTACCAAGCCAACTAGCAAATGAGAGATTGCAGTGACTTGTAGCTACAAGTTAGAGGAGGGGCCTTTTGCTTTGCTCTTAGCTGGTTTTATCTATTTATTTAATTTTTACTTCTGGTATCCATTAGTATCTTCTAAAATGAGAAACAGAATGACCTTATACTCTTAAATGATCACTTTTCACTGAGTGGATTGGAATTAAAGACCACACCCCGGAGAAGTGAAATGTTAATTCAGTTTTAGAGTGAAACGTTGGCACCTTGGGTAGATAGCATCTGCCTCCTGGGAGATGTTTGTGACCCTCCTGTGTGTGGTGTTTTCTATTGAATAGGCCAAAGATTTTGTCAATAATTTATCGACTGTGTGCGAGAAAGTTTGGACTCTGGGACTCCACCAGACCTTCTTGTTAATGCTGATAATTGGAAGATGGCTTCTACCCATCGGTGGTGGAATCACACGGGACCAGCTCTCTCAACTTCTTCTCATGTTTGTGGGGACTGCGGCTGACATACTGGAGTTTACTAGTGAGACCCTGGAAGAACATGATGTGAGGTAAGGAGCAGGCATTCTTCTGAAGACTTGGTGTATTCTTTGGAAGGGGGATCTTATTTTATATCAGCCATAGACATAGTTTTTTTTTTTTAGTATACCATGTCATGATCCTTATCGCTGTTCCTCACAGTGTATTTCATCTCATATCTCCATGTCTTTGCCCAGGCTGTGCCCAGTGTCTGGAATGCAATCCCTCCTCACAGCCACCTCTTAGAATCCCTAGCTTCCATCATAGCTCAGTTCAAGAGCCATTTTCTGCATAAAGCGCTTCATGGTCAATGTTCCCACCCACCCCTAGCTACTAGGGCCTTCCCTGTACTCACCAAGATTACCTGGCATTTATTTTTATATATTTAAATAATACATCTTTTTTATACATTTATGTTTATTATACATTTAAATATATTTGTTATATATATTTATATTTTGTTATACTTCCATGTATGTGCATATTGTCTCCTCTTATAAACTATAAGCTCATGGAGAGCAGGGGTTATTTATTTTTCTGTCATTATATCCTCCCCACCAAGAATACTGCCAAGCACACGATAGACACGTAATACATTCTGATTGATTGAAAATAGTCACAATTGAGAAAAAATAAAATAAAAATTATATAGTTACAACTAGCATTTGTATATACATATATGTGTTATTTAATAATATACAGCATTCACACATGCTTTTGATAAGAGGAAGCCCAATTTAATGAATAGGGAGCCCGCCTTAAAGCCAAGAATACCCAGGTTCAAGTCCCTCTTTCCGCCCATTCTGGCTGCGTGACCTTGAGCAACTCGTTAAGACTCTAAGTGGCAGAGAATGTGCTGACCTGAATTGGTGGAGAGAGGTTCCTTACCTGAGAGTTCCTTATAGTAAGGAAATTATAGGTATAGTCTCTACATAATTTTATATAGTATATAAAATGCACATATGTGCAAATTTTTTATATGTTCGTGCCTTGCTATCTATATACATAGAGGTAGATATTTGCATATAAATGTTTTATATATTATATAAAATAACTATATAATTATATATTCATACATGTAGAGAGAAAGAATAAAGCAAAGAGAAGAGAGAGGGCGAGAAAGAGAGAGAGAGACAGAGAGAGAGAGAAATTAAATCAAACCACCATGATGTAAATGACAGCTCTAACTCAAAGCTGGGTATCTCTCTTATTTTAAGTCAGAGTCCTGAGGTTCCATGGAGGAAGAAAGCATTTCTCTATAGTCAAGCCCTAAATATTCCCCAGTGTGCAGGGAGAATGGGGCAGATCAACTTTGGTTTTAGCCATTTGTTTAGTAGTTTAGTAATAACATTTAGTAATAGTAAATTTTGTTTTGAGTCATTTTTATTCGAGGTGCCCAAAGGATTTTTGGTATAGTTGCTTATAAATTAAAATGTATGGAGTTGGCAAAGTGGTAGGTTTCTTTATTTTTGTCACTAGCAAATAAACGTAGAACCCATGATCACATCTGTTTATGGAACCATTTTCTTACCATTGGGATTTAAGTCTCAGTCCTTGAATTTCTACACTTTGAGCTTGGGTTATTTTCCACAATGCTATAAAAATAAATTGGAATGAAGCTGGTTTCTAAATGCATGCTTATTGTATGCTCTGCTTTTTGAAAAAAAATACAAACATAAAATGACCTTTATACTTTAATTTACTTTACAAACAACATCATTCCAATTATAATAAAAAGTCACTTTGGCTCACCTGCATGGGAAACATTTTTTTTAACTTACGTGAATTTGTCTACAGCTCATTAAATTGATTTTTTAAAAAAGAAAGAAAAGTCCTGAATCCCAGGTGATATTTTGGCCTTCATATTTTAACTTTAGTTTTGTTGCTGTAGGCCCAACAATTTCCCCTGCCCCAGCTCTCATGGGGTATGCAGTAGATCATAACTGGAGAAAGTTGTAAGTTGAGTGGACCTGAACCATATTCCAGTGGGATAGAGGAAAGAGCATTGGTTACTTACTAGCCTTGCTTACCTTAAGAAAGTCATTTTATCTATCTAGGCCTCACTTTCCACATCTATAAAGTGGGAAGATTAGCCTAGATCTGCGATTTATTACCTGAGATCCATGAATGTAGTTTTAAAAAATATTTTGATAACTGTATTTCATATTTGTATTTGTACAAAACTGTATTTTTTTAACCCTCTGTATTTCTTTTTATGCATTTAAACATGGTTGGCAGGAGTCCAAAAACTATAATGGGCAGCTCAAGGGGTCAATGATACAAAAACAAGTAAGAACTCCAGGCCTACAATAATGTCTCTTCCAATGTCCCTTCTGGCTCTCTATCCCATGAGTCAATCTAACTCATTTAGGCCAAGAGGGCAGCTTGGTTAAGGTCACATAGATCATTAGTGACAGAAGAACCTAGATCTTCTCATTCCAAGTCCAGTATACTTTCCTCTAAATCACAAAAATGGTGTTATTCAATCATTTACTTAACAGTAAAGTCATCAGTTTTGTGAATAAAAAGACCACTGGAATGGTAGCCATGACTCCTGATTTTCAGTCCTAACTCTGATGTTAACTAGCTGTGAGACCTTGGATAAGTGATTTTGTTTCTCTGGGCCTCAGTTTCCTTATGTATAAAATAAAAAAGTTAGACTAGATATTACAGTTCTGTGATCAGTCACTCAGGCAACTAGCTTTAAAACCAAAACAAAACTTATTCTGTGCCAGACACTGTGATTAGCATTGGAAATACAAAATAATAATAATAATAATAATAATAATAATAAAAGGCAAAAACACGGTCCCTTCCCTCAAGAAGCCAACATTCTAATGGGATTACAGTGAAAGTAGACATGGCGAAACAAAGGTGGCAAAGACAGAACCAGGCTACATGAAATTTACACAGATAAGGTCCATGCTGGGGGATGTCACAAGCTTGAGGAAAGTGAGAGATCTCTTCTCAAGGTGGGGGAGAGAGAGAGAGAGAGAGAGAGAGAGAGAGAGAGAGAGAGAGAGAGAGAGAGAGAGAGAGAGAGAGAGAGAGAGAGAAAGAGAGAGAGAGAGAGAGAGAGAGAGAGAGAGAGAGAGAGAGAGAGAGAGAGAGAGAGAGAGAGAGAGAGAGAGAGAGAAGACAGGGGGAACTCTCAGACCTTATTATTATCAAAAATTATAACAGAGGCTACCAAGAGAACAGTGATAACTACTGACTTGTATGCCTAATCTGCTGTTTGCATGAATTTTTATGAGAATAATCCTCACTGAGACCAAGAACAACCTGCATGGATGTATTAAAAGTGAATAAGCAGGCGTTCATGACTGAGAGTTCACAGTTGGCCCCGTCTTTATCATCACACAACTGACTAAAAGATTCCACTGTGTTTATTTTTGGTGGACGTTTGAATCTAGGGAGCAAACTCTATCTCAAAATGTCTTCTCCAACAAAGCTTCCAAACCTCACTCGTATATTAAAGCAATGCAACAGACACAACTTGTTTGACAACCCTCTAATCATTAATATCCAGCAAGGCCTCAAACAGGGAGGCATTTGTTTGGTGAAAGGGGTTCCCATGATCATGGAGGAATTCCAGTGAACAGTCCTAGTTAAAGAGGAGTTTTACAGATCAGAGGTTCTTCATCTGGAATCCGTGAATTTAATTTAATATTGTGATAATTATGTTACAATATAATTGGTTTCCCTTGTGGTCTTATGTATTTGATTTTATGCATTAAAAAAATCATTCTGACAAGACTTTTTTTGTTAGTTTTTGTCTCTCTCTCTGTCTCTGTCTCTCCTCTCCTCTCTTCTCTTCTCTTCTCTTCTCTTCTCTTCTCTTCTCTTCTCTTCTCTTCTCTTCTCTTCTCTCTCTCTTTCTCTTTCTCTCATTCTCTCTGTGTTTAATTGTGAAGTCTTGGAACATGTTAATCTCTGAAAGAATGAAATCAATAATCACTCAAAGGGCAATGGAGAAGTAGGCATGAGCAGGCTACAGCAGGCATTACAAACAAGGAATTATCTAGTATAGCCGGGTAATAGAAAAATCAAAGGAACTTAGATAAAAAATAAAAGAAGATGGGTTGTTCCTGTGGCAAGACAGAGGGATAGCTAATGGATAGACCATGCGATGATAACAACAACAAAAAGAATAGCTAACACGTGTATGTGTATACACACATAGATCTACATCTATATCTATATATACTTTGTGAACCACTTTACCAATAATGTCATTTGATCCATTCTTATCCTTAAGTATCAGGAGAAAATAAGAAAGGTCTCTGACTTGTTAGATGGACCCCTTATAGTTGATGGGGTGGGGGCATGGACAAGTGACACACAGGTTGAATAGGAATGAATGGGTTGTGGTCTCTTATCATTGGAGGGAATACCCATATCAATGAAATAACAAATGTATTGGTGTATTGACCTATACCAAATAATCTTTAGGTTTCTATAATAGATAAATATAATAGAGTTATTGAATTGAATTGAAAGGGAATTGAAAGACATAGTCTATGATATAAAATAACACGATGAACAAACGAATTAATGAGACAGGATCAAAGCTCATAGGAGCATGGACTTAGGGCTGAAATGGACCTTGGACATCATCAAGCATAGTCCCTTCTTTTTAAAGTTGAGAGGCAGCATGATGGACAGGGAACTAGACTTACAAATCAGGAAGACTTGTGCCTCAGAAACTTACCAGCTGGATGACCCTGGGCTAGTCACTTAATTTCCCTGGCCCTCATATTCCCAGTCTGTAAAATGAGGATGTTGGCTCTAAAGTTTCCTCCAGTTCTAAATCTACACTACTAGGAAACTGAGGCCCAGCAAGATGAAGTGACTTAGACCAAAGTCACTTAGGTAGTATGGGGAAGAACCAGAATATGAAGGCGAGTATTCAGACTCCAAATCTAGTGTTCATTCTACTGCAGCTCCTGTGCCCCCAGTATGAAGCACATAAAGGGATGTAAATGTCAATGACAAAATCTAGCCATGAAAACACAACTAACCTCAGCTAAGG